TATTATCTTAAAATGCAGTTTAATTGGTCCTCTTTCGTGCGAGGGGTTGGTCACGGCTTATTTTAGGGGACAAAGATCTTCTTCATTGCCTAAAAATTCCCACCATTTCCCTTAATTTCCTCTATATATTTCCTCAGAATGTTGGTTCTAGAAATTTCCTTATAATTTCCTCTAGATTTTTCTTAGAAGCAAAATGCAAAATTTCCTAATATTTCACCAGAGTTTCCTCTAATTTCGGCCATTGCCTGCATATTTCCTAGAAATTTCCTATAAACTTAAAACTAAAACTTAAACTTATGGTTAAATATTTAGTGCGGTTCTTGCGAAAGCACTAAAATAAACGTCAAAAGATTTACAATAAGCCAAATACGTTTTAAACTAAGGTTTTACAAATTGATAGAATTCGTCCATATTATAAAAACAATTTGATACCAATAATTCTTTTAAATTTTGTATGTGGGACAAGCATTTCCCTTACTTATTTTAAAGGACAAAGATTTCCTTCATTGCCTAAAAACTCCCTCCATGCCACCCTTAATTTTCCCAACATTTCTAGCATTGCCTTAATGCATTCCCCCAAAGTTACACAAAATTTCTCCGAATTAACGTGACTTCTTTATATATAGAAACCTTTTCTTTCCTTAAAATTTCCTCTAGATTTCCTCAGAGTTTCCTCTTATTTCCTTAAAAGTTCCTAATATTTCCATAGAATTTCCTCATTCCTTTATAATTTCCTCATATTTCCCAGCATTTCCTGTTATTTCGTCCATTTCATCGTCCATTTCCTACATATTTCCCCGCTATTTCGTCGAAATTTCCTATATGAAGGACTGGATCAACCCCTCGCTTTCGTGTGCCCTCGCCCTGGTTGCTGGTACGGTCCGCTGCAGGTTACTATAATACCTAAGTATGCATTAAAAATTCTTTGCAACGATGTCCCGATCGCGTCTCTAGCTTAATTAGGAGCGGATATAGTGCATAAGGGGTGAGGGGGCGCCTAAAGAGGGTACATTTTTGGTACAAATGTGGTTTTAAGCTAAGGACCATTATATTATTCAACCCTGAAAAATTAAGCTTGCCAGGAATTTTGTTGGGTATTGAGCTTTTAGCTACTATACTATTTGGAACAAGGACCTAAAGCTCATAACCCCTCAATTCAGTTTATACAACCCAATTTCATATTACAGAGACAAACTTAAAGGACCATACCTTTAATTACTCCGACGACGGTTCCTGTGTTGAGAATTTAGAAGGAAAATGGCGAGGATTATTATAATTTTTTGGAAATCCGCACATTTTGTTTGGTTTTGTAATCGTAGATATCATGACCGTTATGGTAATTTTTAGTTACTTTATTTACATTAAGCATTACTCATTACTACTATTTTATGTGATAAAATGAAATGGTATAGGTATTCCCGAGGGTATTCCAATCCTTTTTTTAGTAAACAGAATCGAAAACTTTTTCGATTTTCGTCTGGCTTATAAACGATGCACTTAGAAGTAAAGAACACTTGCGAATTCTCCCATAAATAAAAGAGGTCAACGAGGTACATAAATTACGTTCATGAATTCAAATAGTGACTGTTCATCGGGATCATTTCGTTTTACTAAAGAAGGTCGTTTGTAGTAAAAACTTATTTATAGCCGTCATAATAAAGACAAACACTAAAAACTTGTATGTACCGCAATTCATAATTATTATCTTTTCGTTTGACTGGCGTGCCATTTCATCTTTATGCGGTCATTAAACATTTAGTTATACTGTCCTAACCGAGTTAATCGCGTGGGTGCCTTTGATCCACTTTAAATTATTGTGCGAAGTTTATTCCGCCCTTGTATCGTAATTTTGACATAAAGTATGATACAAAACTACTATTTAAAATTAGACCATACGGCAATTGCACTAATAATAGCTAACCAAAAGGCTAAAGTACGTAACCGGATATGGTTGCAGCAAGATTAGCTTATTTTAATTAGAGGTTGAGTTTCTAGCTTTTATTCTAATATTAAACGGTAATATTTGTCTCATTTTAATGAAATATACGATGGCAACTGGTTGGGAGATTTCGTGTTGTCCTTAGATGTAATATCCGAATCCAAAAGTTAAATGAACTCTCTCTGCATTCGGATTATCGACTCTGTAACTAGATGTTTTTACTAATTTAACACCATACATCAACCTTTACAGTTCCCAAGCTTCTATATAAAGCAAAAATTAGCACCACACTCTTCAAAATAAAGTTGTTGATATACTCCAGAACTAATTCCGACAATTAGATATTCAGGATCGGACTGGACAGGCGGGATACAGAGGAGTCAACAATGAAATCAAATGAACAGCACCATTTCCAGTTGTACAGCTTCAGTTCCTACCGATGTTGTAACGGCCTCACTTGCATACAATTTGAACCTCGACGGCACTGGCAAAAATTTTAATGTGACAATTAATTTTTAATTTACCCACGGCTGGCTCAGTAATAAAAATGTTTTTTATACCCTTTACATTGCGTAAGTTTTGTCCTTTATCTCCTCTTAAACCAGAAATTCTAAATCTAAAGCTCTGGTTTGATTGAACTCGAATGAATACGTATTTAAAAATTCCTTAAAAATTCTTCTAGGGGCTATTACAGTTAGTAAAAGGCACATGAAGGCGGAGAAAGGTTCTTGGAAACGTTTGAAGATACTTAAATGGGTACAAGTTTTGAATAAATGAGTTTAAAAACCCTACAGAGCCCTTGGGGAATCTCAAGCGCTCTTACAGACTATTGACTAGTCTCTTCGAGACCGAACCCGACACTTTTTGGAACTCTTATGGCTGTTTGCGCCGACAAATTTAAGCATAGCTTAAAATCCATGGCAACCATTGTCTCAATAATCGTTGCCATGGATTTTAAGCTACGCTTAAGCTAAGCTCTGCTTAAATTTGTTGGTGTAAACGGCCATTAGGGACTCATAAAAGCATTCCACGGAGATTAATTGGTATTCACAGTTCTGCTTTTACACTACCAAAGATTAAATGTTTACTAACTGTTTTAAAAGCCCCTTGGAGCTGTTAAAAAACTGTTACGCATCCCCGAAAGATCCTCTAACGGCTCGTCCCTTATTCAACGATGCTTTAGTGGTTAGTGCTTCATTAGTGCACGAAAAAAGTAACCCAGCACCGAGTACGTCCACCTCTTTTTGAGGTACAGGGTGATCGTTCTCCGTGCCAACTTCACACCACTTCTGGAAGCACTAACTAAATACTTTGTGTCAATGGTTACTGCTTAATTCTGCACGAAAAAGCAACACAGAACATCCATGTTCCCTCTCCAGCCATGCCAGACAGACAGACGGACCGAAAAATACAGTAAGATTCATAGTAATCACGCTAACTTCAAAGAGATCAAAATATGTAGGTACTTTACATGCCGCATATTTGACAATAAATTGTCACGATTGTGTGTATTTTAGTCACTGTACGACAAGGACCAAAATATTGCACTGTGGTCTACTGTGAGTCCAAAAGGATCGATTTCTGGATGTTGATGAGATCACTCATCGCACACAGAGGGATTGTGGATTTCCTCCGGGGGTTTTCACGGATTGCATAGAGAATGCGAAGCGATTTTACAGCGATTTCAATTCATTTGTGATCCGATCGCGCAGAAAGTGATCAGCATAATAGATAATATTTGCAACTTCCGACAAAGAACTTAAAAAACAGAGTTTTATGTCAAACATCCGCTAAAAAAACTGTTTGAGGAAGGATGTAAAAGATTACCATAAAAGTAATTTATTCCACGTTCAGAAACAATTAAAATGAAATAGAAATTACAGTTACATTTTCATTAATCTTCCCAATCGTGATTGTTCGTACCTTTACCCTGCAAATGTTATGTTCGATTCAATTCTTATAAGATTTGAATTGATAACGGAATGAAATTTCCGAGATTTCAAGAGTAATCCACGTTTTGTTGTCAACTCCACTAAAGGAGCAATCGTAGATTTAATAGGGGTTAGGTTACATCATTTGTATGATGCCAGTTTCGCCCTCTGGACACTTCTTCCCAACGTTTACTGCGAGTACAGAATTCCCCAAGTCCCTAGCTGAATTTTTGAGAGATATACGGTCTTACGGACAGATGTGTACGCACGTTCATACTTCAATAAGATGCGGTGCATAATTTCAAATGCACGTCATGTAGTTTACTTATACGTAAAGATGAAATACCGTAGCTTACATACACCTAAATAACAAATTGCCAACGGTAAATGGTGCGTAATAAATCAAATATTGTGCCATCAAAACAAATTGGAAACCGGGAAATAATATCAAAATAAGCACAGCAATAATTAACGCCTATTCTCTTTAACGATTCCATCCGATAACGTTAAAATGAAATACAAGATTGGTATTCGATAGGGATTTTTGAGAGCTTAAAAAGCGCAACAGCCCCCGGCTTTGTCTTATCGATTGAATACAATTTCTCAACGTGATATCTGTAAGTCAAAAGTCAATTTCTCTTTTTTCTCTTCCAATCCTCTTTGACATCGATATTCACAATTTTCTCGCAGTCCTTCGCCGAGATTAATTTACCTACCTATACACGCGGGAGGCGCCCATAATCAATTTTCGCCGATGAAAGGATAGGAAACAAGCAAATGCACTTTTTCCTCGCTATGTGCGTGAAAAGTGCTTTGTTAAAGCATGAGTCAGGTCTTCTTTTCCCTTACGTTTTCCAAAAAGTAATGGACCTGCACGGCTACACCTGATGAAAGCATTAATCATAACTTTGGTCATAATCTGTAATCAATACCGAGCTTTCTGTGTAACCCATTACAAATTATTAAAACAATATTTTGTGATTACCCCAAAATCGATGAAAATTAACGTAACATCGCGTGCAGGTAGCTTTCGTTATACCGATCCCAACGTACCTAATAACAATGCGCAAAAATGTTACGCATGCAAATTTCCATTCGAACTGAAAAGGGCTTAATAGTTTCGCACGTACCTAAATTATAACACCGGTCCAAAAATCTCATTTGTAATTTCACTGAGCACACGAAAATTTTCGCCAGCATTTATCACACAAAGTTCCACTGAAAACGTGCGTTTTCCAAATTTTTTACCGTAAAACAGGGAAAAAAGTGCCCGAATGTTATCAACGCGAAATATCGAAACAATGCCCGAATCTACAGCATTATAGCGCCACCTTCTACAGACGTATTCAAACTGAACGGTGGCGCCTGCCCACCATGAATTTTCCCCTTCTACAATAAAAACAACTCCCACTACAAAATTATAGATATTTTATAAAGGTAATTTTTGAATTTATAAGATTAATAATCGCGATATGAAAAATGGAAACGCCTCCCGGTTGAGATTTTAAGGTGTTTCCAAAGCAAATTGAAAGCGAGCACGTGAGCGCATTTCGAAAATTAATCATTTTTTCCTACTTTCTACTTGTTTCAAGATGTAAAAAGTTGCATGCTTACCGCACGTACCTACCCTACATGAAACCCAACCTCATTATGTAATACTTTTTCCGTGCAATTTATGCGGTGACTGCCTAAGTAATTTTTTTAAGACTTAATTAATTACAATTTATGACCTTATCGCCCATGTTTAAAATGCTAGATTAGGTGAAACAGAATTTTAATAAAATTAGGGGTGGAAAACAAAATTTACTTTACTAAAAAGGCGATTCCTATCGCCACGAACTCTGTAATGAAAACTAGAACAATTGTGGTTGATCCAAATTGAAAGAACACAATGGAAATAAGGAAGTTACAATCATATTTTACAGTAATGGTTTTGAGGCGTTCGATACCAAGAGTCAAACACTCAAAAATTATAACGAACTGGAGCGCGGACGCTCATTTTTCAACTAAAGGACTAAAATAGTCCAATTATGAGTTTCTCGTGTCCTTAATTGAACACCAAGGTTCTGAAATGGCTGAAAAAATAGACCATTTCAGGAGATTTTAGTATTAGAGACCGATCCAATCACAAAGTGATAATTTTCTAATTACCTATACTGAGATTACGGAAAGAAATTGAGGCAAAATTAAATCGTGTTTCACTTTAAAAATAAAAATCATTTTGAGTAAAATATTTATTGTATGGAAGTAGACACATGTTACATCACTAGAAACATAATTCAAAAACCTTTGCTTACACAGTTGCCCTAGGAACGGTGCGTAAAGCCTTAAATTGTAGGCACATGCCTAGTTGCCTACATGCTGTCGTTCTTATATTTACAAAGAAAAGTGATTACTAACAAGTGTATGACCTTTTAAAATGTGGCATACGATCGCACAATTAGGTACAAGTAGGTATGTATTGTCGAAAATACTCCACAGTACCATCAGCTTTACTATAAATTTAGAAATATATCGATAATGTACCTACCTATCGAAATAACTATCGCGCAAGTGTTTATCTATAGAACAGCAAAAATTCTATTAAATTTATGCAATTACCTCATACTATCCGTAATGTGTTAGAAAAGATGTAATTTGAGTACTGATTCGTATTCAACCCTAGGTAGAGGTTTTTATCGGTGCCTTATACCTACCTACCTACCCTAAATACCAAATTTTAGAAATTTACAAAAGGTTGATGATTACACAGGTACCTGCCCACTGAACCATTGTGAGATACTAAAACTGGATTTCACCAATTTTGGTGAAGTTTATAGATGAATTCTATACCACTTATAATCATGAGTGATGTTCCAGAGATTTTGAGGGTTGGGCCAATACAATATGGCAGTATAAGTACAACAAAACTGTATTATATTGATTATTATACCTTATTGTTGCAAATATATCATGATTTTTGAACTTATAATTTTATATATTCGAAACCAATATGTGTGTATCCTGATTTTTGGTAAAAAAGGAAGGTTATACACTGCCTTTTTTTGAGCCCCGAAAAAAAAATTGTCTCAGATCGACCCGAAAAAAAATTTTCTTATAGAATGTGGCCTGTAGAATCCATAATTTCAAACAGTTCCAAGATTGGGCTACTAGTTCAAAAGTTACAGCCCTTTGAATTTTCTTTCGAAATTGGTTTCTTGTCTATAACTTTTGATTGAGAAGTCTGATCGAAAAAGTACGAATTGTTTTGGATTCTACGCACCAAAATTAATAAGAATTCCCGGGAAAGTTTGGTGCAGTCGATTTTTGGCAGGGTGTGTATATTAGTTGCAATAATCTAAGTTACTTGTTAATACATGTTAATTCAACTACTCCCGTATTACAAAAGCATGCATATGAGATGGTTGCCGTTACATACAGTTTTTTGTATGAGTTAAAACTATTGTAAAACTAGCTATAGGTACACTTACAAGAATATGTATATGATAAATTTTATAATTCTTCATAGCTATCCCTATACGTATTATATTTTTTGATAGCTATTATTATATTTTTAATTACCTTTAACATACATTTTTCTCCGTGTATTGAAACCAAAAATCCCTCAGATCCTCTTGACGCATTGGCGGTAACCCAAGTAAAGGAAGTGTTACACACCACCGACCGATATCGGTTGCCATTCCCTGTCTCACCAGCTTCGAAAAAGAAAGACCCAATGATGGTTTGGGAGCAGACACCGGTCCATACAGTCACTTACTTAACATGCAATGGTGTTTCATGATTTTCGTGGGGATTTTGGGTTCCGGAAAAGCGACAACAATCCTTGAGTCAACTGTTAGTACTTTGTAACATGTGAAGATCTTCTTTTAAGATCCTTCTTAAGGTCATTCCACTGCACCGCTCGGCGACGGTCATAAACATTTGAACTTTCGGCAACACTTCTCTTGGCAGCTTAAATTTTTTCAATGGAACGACATGGGCGCGGTGTAGCGTGTTGTTGTCGATTAGCTACAGATCCGTACTCAAAAAAATTGCAAGCCTATAGTTACGAATTGTATCGCTCTTGGGCGCAGAACGATGATTGTCAAAGTTATTCAATATGTTAAGAGAAAAATATCAAACTCAAAGAAAATTGTGAAGATTCATACTTTAAAAAAGTGTAGAAATTCCTCCTGTTACTAAGAAAAATTTTAAATTATTGAGACTAAACACTATTAAAAAAAAATTAAGGACTTTAAAAACATTAAATGAGCCTGTGGATAGTTGGGATACCCTTCTATTATATTTACTAGTGGAAAAATTGGATAAGGTCACAAAAAGAGCGTGGGAGACAAAGGTAAATAGGGTACAATCTCCTAGAATGAATTTATTTTTTGAATATTTGAAAGAAAGTTGATTAAATATATACCTGCTAAAATGGTGTACTAATTGCCAAAAAAGCCAAGTGAATGCGAGTCTGCCGTACCTGTAACAGAAAACACAATACTTTATTACACATTGATAATTCTGCTAATCCCATTTCTAAACACACTAGGTAATGTTATTAGACATGAGGAGGACGATTCGTCCAACGAAGAGCCCATCTCTTCATTGAATTTTGTGTGAGGATAATGTCAAATAATCCGACTTTACTTCCCACTGCGGTCGTGCAGCTCTTGGATTCCGAAAATGTTCCCATACGCTGTCGAGCATTGCTGGATGGTGGCAGTCTAAGTTGCACCGTCTAAATTTGCGTTATAAGTTTATAAACGTTCCAATTGTAGGCATCAATTACTTACGCAATGCTGACTCGTACCAACAAAGATTTGAGAATTCCTCTACATAGAACTGCATCATTTGAGAAAGGACCTTATTATTCCGCCATTAAAACATATAATATGCTACCACTGCCACTTAAAAAAATAATGCCAACGCATCGTTTTAAATATGAGTTGAAACTCTATTTAACACGATTAACCCTATACAACGCCCATTTCGTATAATCTTTATTTCGTATAATCTTTATTTTTTCTCTGACAATGCTAATGTTTACAAAATGTAAAACTTATGGCAATAAATTATTATTATTATTATTATTATTATTATGTCACAAAATTAGTGTATTCAGATCCGAGATCCACTCAATCTTCTTTTAAAATTAATATGCCCTTCCTGATAATGGTCAAAATAAACGACAATCTGCCCATAAGTTGTATTAATATTTCAAATATTAATATTGCAATTTTACGCTCGATGAAATTAATGTTCTTCTGGGTGCAAATGCTTTCTATGAATGTTTACTGCCTACTTAGTCAGATTAGATTAGGCAAAAATTTGACAATGTCACAAGAGTCCAAATTAGACTGGAGTGGGAAATTGAAGAGGTTGCAACCAAACCTAATGCTACTCGTATTTTGTCTAAAGAAGAAATGGAATGCCCCTTGGTGCGAAGGCCCATAGTTTGGCATTTTATTCTCCCTTATTCTCAAAACTTTGGACGTTTGAGAGAATGAGCAGTACGTTCTGTTAAACACCATTTGAAAAGAATAATTAATAAAGTTTATTCGACGAGGAGTTCTACACTTTATTATCTCAAATTGAGAGAATCCTAAATTTTCGTCACATACTGCCACTCACGGACGACGTTGAAGATGTAGAAGTTCTTACACCAGCTTATTTGATAATTGGGTCATCGTTACAAGGTTACCACAACCTCACAGGTCAACAAAAAAATAATTTCTTTTGCGCATGGGATTTACATAATATATTCTGATAATAATAAGCAAAAAAAAATAAAAGTGCGATTGGACATCGAAAATATTTGCTTTTACAAAAGTTATAGCGATTTGATTGAAAGTTTTTAGGGGCGAACATTAAAACTGGAATCTTTGTTTTCCCTCAAATAAAAAGAAATATGAAGTGTGATATTTTCCCGCGGTTACTTAACAAAGAGGAGAAAAAATCTTGGAACAGTTTTAAGGCAATAGTCCATGGTTTCCCGTTCAATGTTTCCTGGGAAACCATAGAGCTGAAAATTATGACAAGCTGACAGGATTTGGTTTGGTATCATCGGGTAGAGAATGTCTCTAAGGATGCACACGTTACATTCTCATTTAGATCAATTTAAGGATAATATGGGGGCTTATTCGAAAAAACAAGGGGAACACTTTCATCAAGATTCAAGACATAATGGAATTTGAGCACGTTACCAAAGCCAGTACGCTGGAAGCATGATGGAAGATCATATTTGGGCAGTTAATAAGAAAAACTTCTGTTGAACATGACAGAAAAAGCAAAGCTGTTCCATTTTTAAACATTTAGACTCTAAGACAAACAAATTATAAATGTAGGAACGTTA